CCCACCATCACACACACACCTGTCAGTCACAACCAGGGATACATGATGTGCTCAGTTACATTATTCCCCTTGGCACCCAGTGGGGTCCTCTAGTGACATAATGTTCAGTTAATGTATCTATCTCACAAGGTAGATGTGAGGATATGATGGAAATATTGCCCGTCAAAATGCATTTAAAACAGGAAAATGATACAGAAATGTAAAGGTACTATTAGTATAATCATTATTTTTTTCATTGCAAACAGAGTTGTTAAAATCACTGTCTGCCAGCAAGTGGAAGACAGCCCTACGGGGCAGCAGGAATCATAACGAACTCCAGCTGGGACACGTCTGTCCGATTTTGGTTCCCGCGGTCATTCATGAAGAGCTAGGTTTTGTGAATGGAGCACCAACTTCCTTACTCGTGGTGCCACCTAGTGGCGATGTAAGTTCTGCAACTAGAGCTGCGTGTCCAGGCTGTAGGCTGGACTAGAAGGACGCAGAAACAGATTTCAGGGAGGTACCCTCTCCTAAGGCAGGGACACACACACCTGAGAATCAGCGCTGCTCTGCCAATAACTCTATGAACTGACCACACCCCCCCTCCATTTTCACAATGCATTATCACCTCCTCCCCCTCTCCTCCCCTAGCTTTGGGGAACTGACCTTTGGGTATGAATTCGAAGGAACTGACAAGTGCAGGGTTCTGGAACCAAGGGGGCATGTGTAGCAATCTCTCAAACCATGCTGGATGCTTGGGAAATGGCACTTCTTCCCAGAAAGGATCATAGTCTACCGGAGGCAAGAGGAATACACTGTGAGCTCTGGGAGGAGACGGAAGCCCGGGGAAGGGACAGGGGTATGACTCAGCCAGGGTGGATGGAGGTGAGGGGCAAGGGCAGGGCCCGCCAAGAGGAGCAGAAAAAGGACAGGGCCGGGAGCTTCCCTGAAAGAAAACCCTTTCACCCCAACCCAGTCAACAGTCCCTGTAAGGCCACCGGAGGCCGCTGGGATTCTAGGCTGTTGAGTTAGTGCTGTGACTGTGTGAGGGAGTCGGTGGAGAAAAGGAGAAGGCAGGGCTCAGCAGGACTTGGAAAGGCTCAGATCACAAAGCAACAAGCTTGGCCTACAACTGTGCGCTGAGAAATGACTGTCTTTCTTTTATATTTATCATTTATTCCCAGTATTTCTCATGGGACAATTATGTCTTTTTAAAAATATATATGTTTTTATTGATTTCAGAGAGAGGAAGGGAGGGGGGGGGGGAGAGAGAGAAACATCAATGATGAGAGAGTCATTGATCGGCTGCCTCCTGCATGCCCTCGACTGGGGATGGAGCCCTCAACCCGGGCATGTGCCCTGACCAGGGATCAAACTCCGATCTTCTGGATCCTAGGTCAGTGCTCAGGCACTGAGCCATGCTGGCTGGGCAATTATGTCTTTTTGCTTCCAATTTCCTCCAATCTCAGAGCCTCTCCTCCATCTCACCCCCACCCTCCTCATGCCCTGGGTAGGGTGGATACAACACAACACAAGGAGAGCACCAATCTTGTTTGGAGAGACAATCCTGTGGACCATGAATTTAATTGACTCTATGAGGTTTCAACTATATAAATCCCAGTTATTATTGGACTGACTAATACGGCAATAGCATAAGAGTCTGGGAGACTGCTGTCCCAGACTTCCCGAGTGGAAATGTTTTCTGGGTGGGCTGAACCACCATCAGGTCGGGCACCTACCACTGCGGACATCCAGGGTGACTTTCTGGGTCTTGCCCCGGTCTGTGTTCAGGCCTGACCCACAGGCATAGGCTCCGCTGTCACTCTTGGTCAGCTCTGTCACCTCCACTAGGAACAGATTGTGCTCTGGATACAGCGTCAAGGTGGCTCGGTGCTTGTATTCCTTCCTGATGTAGTTCTTGCTGGACACCACGGTGATGCATGCTTCAGATTCAGCTATCTCTCGGCACAGATACACCCGCACAGACATTTCAGGAAGTGGACACTCAATGACAATAGATCCACCCAGCATCCCCTCCAGCTTGACTTCTGGGAGCATCCTCAGAGCTCCAGATACTGCAGGAAGAGGGAGTTAATGTATAGGGAGCCTCATCCCAGCCATGCCCCCAACTCCAGCCCTCCTTCCAGCCCAGGCCCCAGTCCAGCCTCACACTCATCTTTAGAACAGCCCCATCGCCATTATCAGCCCAAGCCTCAGCAAGCCCTCAGCCCCTGTCCTATCCTGATCTCTAACCCTGGCCTCGTCCCCAGCCTCTTCCCATGCCCACTCTTATTTGCATCTTCAGTCCAACTCTAGGTTCATCTCTGTGCCCACTTGTGCCTCAGCCATGCTTCTCCCCAGCCCAAGCCTGAACATAACCCTCAGCTCATCACCAAACCCGTGCCCATAAGGACCCAGGCAACAACTTCCTGAGAATATAGTCAAAACTACTATTCCACTCCAAGGAGAGAGAATATCCCATGTTAACCCCAAACAGCACATAGCCTCCAGTGTGGCATTGGGAGGCATGGTACAGTTTTGCTGCAATAGGTTTTCTGTCTAGTTTTGTTCTGCTCAGATCCATTCAGCCAAAAACAACCATTCATACCTAGTTCTATTTGTTAAAACATTCAATAAGCATTTATTGAATGCCTTTCATGGGACAGTAAGATAGTTGGCATTCCTTCCCTCACAGAAGGATTCATTTAGTGGGTGATACAAATGGACAGCCATTACAGCACAGTGTCATAGATCCCACGAAGAGACACAGACACACAGGGTTCCTTGAAACATCAAGCAGGGGCACCTGATTCAGGCTGTTGCACAGGGATGGTGTAATTTGAGGAAGGCTTTCTGGAAGAAGTGATATCTCAGTTGTGACCTAAAGGACTGGGTGGGAGTAGACGGCAACTGAAGGGTGATGATGGACTTCAATGCAGTGGGGAACATAGAGGGAAAGCAAGGGTGATGTGACTGTGTGCATGGGTGTGTATATTGTGTGTGCGTTGGGGAGGGTGTGGAGCAGGGAGGGATAAAATATATGGTTCTTCAATCCCTGACATCAAAAACTATGCTTTGGCTGAAGAAGGCAGGTCTAAGGCAGTTGGAGAGGAAGGTATGGTGAGTTGTCAACTAAGAGGGTCCAATAAGTGTCTGCATATTTCTGACAAAAGGGTTCCTAGGGTGACGTGTGTATTGGGGTGGGGCTGGGGGACTTGAATGGAGGAGGAGAGATGCTTCCAGCAATGAGAACAGCCCTCATAAAGGCTGGGATATGAGAGAACATGGCATGTTCATGGGGTGGAGAGAAGTTTATGGATTTCCTGAAATTTATCCACAGACCACACATTAAGAATAGCTCCTGGGAGTTTGGCAAAATTGGGAGAGTCAAGGTAAGAAGTGGGGGTTGGGGTTTCTAGATGAGCAGAGACTTGAGGAAGGCAAGGAGAGGGAAGAGCATGGAAACATGTAAAGCGGTAGAAACAGTCATGGGAACATGATGGGATGTAAGAGAGGAGGCTAGAGAGGGCTGGAAGGAGCATTTGCAGGAGCATGTTGCTGTCTAGAAGTGTAGCTGTTGTAATGTGGTAGGGAGGAGCAGAGGGCCAGCCAGATACGTAAGATCTGACACGGAAACCCTTACACGAATAACCCAACATTGCTTTAAGTTGCTGGGAATTGAGATGTGTGGGGTAGCCTCGTGACTAGAATGTGGCAATGTGACCTGTGCAAAGGCCAAAGACCCAACCAAGGGAGTGGGGGAACCACCCTGTGTGCGCAGACGTCTGGCCCACATCTGCATGTAAATCCCAGCACCTGAGAGTGAACTCGTCAACTCAGCTAGAAATGGGCATGAGTGCTACTTTCCCAAGAGCAAGATGCTAAAAGATGGTCAGGTGCTCGACAGAGCAGAGGGGTCATCACCTAGATAGACACCTCCAGGGACCTCATTCCGCTCACCCCTGGCTTGCCCAGATCCTCTGTTTTGGGCTACGTGTTTGTGTCCCTACAAAATCTATGTGTTGAAGTCCTAACCCCCAACGAGATGGTATTAGGAGATGGGGCCTTTGGGAGGTGATTAGGATTAGGTAAGGTCATGAGGGTGGAGCCCTGATAACAAGATTAGTGTCTATAATCTCTCCATGTGTACAAGAAGAGGTCACATAAGTGCACAGGCAGATGGTGCCCATCTGGAAGGAGAAGGGCATCTGCTGGCACCTTGATCTTGGACATCTAGTTTCCTGAACTGTGAGAAGTAAACATCTGTTGTTTAAACCATGCAGCCTGTGGTATTTTGTTACAGCAGCCTGAGCTGACTAAGATAGCCTCGTCCAAATGCTGGACGGGGGAAGCACAAGAAAAGTTGCTGGGTACACTGAGCTCTGGTCCCAAGGAAGCACCAGTTGGCAAGATGAAAATGACCAGAACTCAGCTCTCCTTAGAGGTCCTGGTAGCTTCTAACTGACATCCAAGGCTTAGAAAAGCAGCTTTCCCGAACAGAAGAAAGACAGATATAACCTCCTGGTTTAGACTTTACGTACAGTGTGGTAAGATTCACGTGGGGGGAACTTGCTAGGGTGACCTTGACACACCCTTAGGCATGGTGATTACATGGGTCTCGGTGGGCCGAGGCACCTGCATTATAAATAAGCATCCTCAGTGCCCTTAAAGTTTTGTTAATTCTGGGCTATAACTACACTTCCAAATGATTCTGGGAGGAAAGGGAGGGGTGAAAGAAGCTATGAAAAAGAACCATGCTGTTTAATGGTATTTTAGAGAAGCTACTAAGTGACATTAATCTGTAATTTGGTGATTTGATTTACAGTGGTGCTGTAAGGGTGGTAGGGATATATACACTTTTAAAAGTTACTAATTATATAATTAGATATAAATAGATGTTTGGAACATGAAAAAAAATATAATTTTCCTAATGCAAAATAAAGCAAGGAGTTGCATGGCCTTGGCTGGCAACAGTGCTCTGGAGATAGATTCTGGATTCCATATAGTAACGATTTTCTTGGCGGGGGTGATGATGAAGAGCTTATAACTCTAGTCATAGCAAAATCTCTGATAGAAGGAAGCTGGCCTGAGGCTTTTATGTTTATCAGGCTTTTATGTTTATCAGATGGAGCATCCAACTCAACTTTTCACTTCCACATACACTAACCTATGTGTGCCCAGACCTGCAGCCTGCCATTCGTTCCTCCGCAATGAATGGAGTGTCCCCCTTCCTTTCAGAAGCCAGGACCTTCACGTGTATCCTGAGTGCATCCTGCTCACCTTCTCCAGAACTTCTCTTCTGCAGTTGTCCTTTCCTCTCCCTGTCTCATCGCTTCCCCCTCTGCTCCACGGCGCCCATATTGAAGACCCCGCCGTTGACCTTTGCCTCCCCTTCAGCTGCCAGCCCTCTCTGTTCCCTTTCTCAAACGAGTCATCAAAATCACTGAATCTACTTCCACGCCTCCCATTTCCTCTTCTACCTATGCTTGTCAGAATTTTGTTTCCAACATTCCTCTGAAACTGGTCTAATAATCGAGGCCATCCATGTTGTCCTTATTGCCACGTTTAATGGCCATTTCTTTGTCTTCATTTTACTTGCCCTCTTGGAAGCATTTGATGCAATTGAGCCCTTGAAACACTTTCTTCTCATGTCTTCCCTGACACCATACTCTCAATGGCGGATCCTTGTCAATCTCCGTACTTACTTCTCTAACCACCTCCCAGTGTTGGGCCACCCCAGCACCTCGTGCTTGGGCCTGTTCCTTTCTCTGTCTTCCCTCGCTCTCTCCCCACACTAGCTTGTTTACTGCCATGGTTTTCAAGGCCAACTTTATACAGACTTCACCCAGACATGTATCTCCAGTCTTGTCTTTATCTCTGAGCTCCAGACTTGCCTTCCCAATGTCTCCACTTGGATTCCATTTGAATATCTAATATATGTTTCAAACTTACAATGGCAAAAACAACAACAACAAACAAACCACAAAGGGCTCTTGATTTCTTGATTTCTCTTCCAAAACCCATTCCTCCCCTTGCCTTTAGAGCCAAATTCATAGAATGTTCTCTACGGCCAAAGTCCATAAGTTTAGTACCTATGTTTTCTGTGTAATTTGTTGTTTCAGATCTTATATTTAGGCCTTTTTAAATTATTTTTTTAAATTAATTTTTGTACATGGGGCTAAACTGTAATCTAGTTTCATTCTTTCACATGTGAGATGTAAAGACAAAAAGCAATGAGTGGAACTATATCAAACAAAAAAGCTTCTGCACAGCAAAAGAAACCCACAACAGAACAAGAAGGCAGCCAACCAAATGGGAGGTGACATTTGCAAACAACAGCTCGGACAAGTGGTTAATATTAAAAATATATAAAGAACTCGTAACTCAACACCGAACAAAAACAATTCATTTAAACAATGGACAGAAGACCTGAACAGACACCTCTCCCAAGAAGACATACAAATGGCCAACAAATATATGAAAAGATGTTCAACTTCACTGGCTATTAGGAAAATGCAAATCAAAACTACACTGAGATACCACCTCACACCTGGTAGAATGGCTCTTCTCAACAAGACAGGCTATTGCCTGCCCAACAAGTGCTGCAGAGGTTGTGGGGAAAAGGGAGCCCTCATTCACTGCTGGTGGGAATGTAGGCTGGTGCAGCCGCCATGGAAAGCGGAATGGCAGTTCCTCAGAAAATTAAGAATAGAGCTACCATGTGACCCAGCAACCCCTCTTTTGGGTATCTGCCCAAAAAACTCAAAAACACTTATTTGCAAAGATATATGCATCCCTATGTTCATTGCACCAAAGTGTCCTTCGATAGAGGACTGGATGAAGAAGATGCGGGACATGTGTACAATGGGATTCTACTCAGCCATAAGAAAAGATGAAGTACTGCCATTTGCGACAACATGGATGCACCTTGAAAATATCATGCTAAGTGAAATAAGTCAGTTAGAAAAAGCTGAGGACAATATGATTTCACTCATATGTGGGATATAAGACTGAAACTCACAGACAACAGTATGGTGGTTCCCAGAGGGAAGGGGGTGGGGGAGCAGTGAAAGGCTAAGGAGGCCAAATATATGGTGGCAGGAGATGATCTGACTTTGGATGGTGGGCACACAGTGCAATACACAGATCATGTATCATAGCAATGCACACTTGAAACCTATATGATCTTATTAACCAATGTCATCCTAATAAATTTAATTAAAAACAAAACAACAACAAAGAACAAAACCAAACCCATTTCTTCACAAGCTCTTCCCATTTCAGAAAATAGCACCAACATCCATCCAACTGCTGAGGCCCCAAACTCATCTCCATATAAAAGAATCAAGAACAAATTGTAAGGGTGTGTTTGTATGTGTACTGGGTTACAACATCTAGTGTATGTATGTATGTATGCATTATTATTACTATTATTTTTTAAAATTTATCTGTATTGTTGAAAGTATTGCAGATGTCCCCTTTTTTCCCCAACTGCCCCCTTCCACCCTCCTCCCAGGCCTTCACCACACTATTGTTTGTGTCCATGGATATTATTACTGTAATTATTATGGCTCTAGGTAAAAAAGGTCTGAAAGTTTACACCACATGATACCACCTTGCTTTATTATGCAGTGCCACCTAAGGCTCCAGGCAGTATGGCCTATAGCTTGGGCCTCATGCGTTGGGCTCTGGGGACCAGGACCACCCCAACATTTGCAGGCCATGGGGCATGAATACAAATAAAGGCCCAAATATGATGTCTAAATATTTTAAAGTTATAAATCAAGCTAATAAACTGTTAAATAAAGTATATTCTATCCCCTTTCTTGACAAATTTACACACTCCTTGGATGTTCACTCTAAAACTTGACTGTAAGAGGCAGAAAGGCCCCCAGCTTTCTGTCCCAGCTTCTGGCTTATCTCCCTTCTTTTTTCAACCCTGGCTCCTGCTGACACCACAAGGGTCCTGGTATATACATGATGGATTCCTAGCTTGCAGGTCTCCATCTATCTCCCAAACAGCCACATAGAATGATGGTATTGCTTAGAACAGATGGCCATGGTACCATTTAGGTATCCTTCATTCCTAGAGAACTTCTGCTCCTACCCAACCCCTCTCACCTCCAAAGTCTGAGTTTAATTGTATCCATATTGTGCTCATATATGTCCTACTACTTCTCACTGAGTTTGACGCTTCATTAAAACTCCATTCCCTTGGGCTTTGGGGTTTTTTTTGATCTTCAATTTGGCAAACATTTGACTTTCTTCCATACTCAAGCCATCATAGAGAAAGCAAGTATGAATAAAAAAATCCATTTTGACTGTCAAGGAGATTGCCCTTTAATCAACAAAATGAGGTGGACAACACCCCGAACCACAATCCAAGGCAGAATGGGATCAGCTATTAGGATTCGGAAGAGGGGTTTCCGGAAAATGTCTAGGAAGGAGGTGATGGTTGAGATTAGCTTGGAAGGACCCATAGAAGGTGGAGGTGAGCAGAAGAATGTTCCTGGCAGAAAGAATGGAATGAGCAAGGGCTGGTGGCAGGAAGTCTAGCACTTCGAGGAGAAGCCCTGTTTAGCTGGAGGTCAGGGAAGTGCAAGGACCTGGGATAAGCTCAGAAGTGAAGAGAATCACAAGGGAGAGGCTGGCATTTCGTTCAGTAGGCAGTGGGAAAGACAATCCTGTGATTAGAGTCAAGCTTTTAGGAAAATTAATCTAGAACTATAGGTAGGTCAAATTGCAAGAGGCAGGAAAGGTAGGTAAGAGATGACGACGTGTTCTTTTCTTTCCCATTCCCCCTGTTACCTCTCTAACAGAGGTTGCCATTGCTTCTCATCCTGGTAAGTGGGAGTCTGGAAAGTGCATGAATTGGCCATTGATGGAATCAAAATGTGGTTGGGGACAAATGGAAAGAGGTAGCAAAGAGCCATTCTAAGGTTTTCCGGCTAATATCAGAGGTAGTTTAGAGAGACTAGCTGGCTTGGGTAGTGACCCATGAGAAATGTGAAGTAAGGTGTTAAGCATGTTGTATTCCAGATCTGGGTGTGATGTGGAGGTGGGGGTACCCAGGAGACAGATGTAAATTGGAATTAGGGAGCTCGGGAAATGGATTCAGGCTACTGAATGGATTAGGGAGCCTTCATTTAGAGTTGAAAGTTGAAAATCAGGAGTGAGAGATCCAAAGAAAGAGAATGTAGCCCAGCCAGGTGTGGCTCAGTGGTTGAACATCGACCTAGGATCCAGGCGATAGGGGTTCGATTCCCGGTCAGGGCACATGCCCGGGTTGCGGGCTGCAGCCGATCAATGACTCTTTCATCATTGATGTTTCTGTCTCTCTCTCTCCCTTTCCTTTCCTCTCTCTGAAATCAATAAAGATATATTTAAAAAACAAAAACAAAAAACACAAAAAAAGAAAGAGAATGTAGAGGTAAGAAGAAAGAACTTTGGTGGCATTTGCTTTAAGGTCCCATATTAATAGGCTATATGTCTGGGAGAGGTGACACCTTCAGCCCTTATGGGTCAATACGTAAGCCCAACGGGAGATGTGCCTGGAATAGAGAGAAGTGCACTAGCAGGAGGATCTCCAGTGCTTCATGTGGCCTCCATCCATGTCCTGCTCTAGGTACCAGTTTGCAACTAAACCTGTCCAGAAACATCAGAGCTGGAGATACCAGCCACTCCTCTACCCGTGGCCAATGCAAACCTCATAAGACATGTGAGGCCTTTCCCCACAGCACTTACCTGGCAGGAAGTAAATTAACCAAAGCCAGAGGTCCATGTCTCCTTCCAGAGCAAGGTCCCATCCAAGAGCCCCAGGAAAGGGGGACAGAGGCCTACTGCTCACCCAGGAACCTGTCACAATCTGGAGTTTGAAAGAGATTTCTGGCCCATGTGAGGATCAAAGCTTGAAAATGAGGAAATGACAGCCCCACTTGTTTGCTTGCTAGTCTTAGACCAAAAAAGAAAACATCAGCAAACCACAACGGAAACCAGGAGTTGAGAAAACATATTGTGTTGATTGTGAATGGGTCACCAGGGTTCAGAGGGCTTCTAGGCAGATCCTAAAGACTATTAGAAACAACCAGGCATGATATTTCTTTGTCTTGGCCACTTTTTCTTAGAGAGGCCTCTCATGCTTCGTGTGTATTCATTGATGTCTCAGCCAGAGTCCTTCAACTATTTTTCTTGTCTTCAGGATAAAAGAGACTCATTGCCACTTTTCACCATCTGAGGAAGGCTGTGTGGACAGAAGCTTGGGCCTGGTTGTAGCCCTTGAACTCATTTGACAAATATTTGAGCACCTACTATGTAGAAATACTAACTGGATTTTGAGCCTCGATTTCTTTATCTAGAAATGAAGGGGGGACTAGAGGATCCCTTGCATTCCCTCCTACAAAACATTGTTCCTGGGATCTTAACTTCATATCAGCCACCCTTCACCTCCCCTAACTATCTCCCTAAAGTGATGGTTCTGTCCAGTGACCATATGGGCAATGCCAAGAAAGAATGTGACAGGTCACACACAGCTCTGCCTAAAGTCACAGCAGCTTGGTACAGCCATCCCTTCAGGACCTCAAGGGTCCAAGGGCACAGCCCAGTAACAATGGAGAAGAGAGAGACACTGAGGCAATCAGCCATGAGGTATCACAGAAAGAGCTTTGGGTTCCAGTCAGAAGTCCTGGGTTCTGGTCCTGCCTTGGCACTTTCTAGCTTTGAGCCTCAGTTTGTCATTGATAAAATAAGGATGGTCCCTGCCTGCTTAACTTGCATGCTTTCATGAGGCCCAGCAGAAACCATGCTCATGGAAGTGTTTTAAGAGCCTTTTAATATGGAGATGTGCGGGGTTATCACTTATCAGAGAACTCCTAAGGCTTCATTCCTGGGTGTTACATCCTAAGAGGGTTCCCAGGGCCATCCCTCTGGGCACTGCTGCCTCGTGTCCACAGAGGACTCAGGCTCTCACTGCTTCTGGGCAGATGTGGCTAACAGAGCCTCCAGGCCCTTCAGCGGTCCTCTGCACACAGCTCCTCTGCACACTGGCCGTCGCACACCAAATTTATCACATGTTCTCCAAAACAAAAAGACATCCGCAGTGAAAGCCGAGTGTGAGGCTCAGAGCAGGTGCAGAGGAAGCGTGTGTGGGCGGCCAGCCTGCCCTGCCCACCCCTATCTGTGTCTCCACCGGCCCAGGGGTGCTGTACTCGTGACTCCCTCCAGCCACACCGGGCCAAGGCGTCAGTGGGCAGCCTCAGGCTTCTGGGAAGAGTGCGTGACTGCCAAAGGTCTCGGGTCCCCTCAGCCTCCACCCTGCCTGGCTTCTAGGGCTCTGCCCAATGCCCTGCAGCTGTCACCCAGCTGGGCTCTGGCATGTGCTCGGTCCCAGGCCTGCGATTACCTTGGAGAGAGAAAGAACAAGTGAAGGAAAGTGTGGTGGGTGTGACTGTGGCGTGAGAGCGTGTGAGTGTGTATGTGCAGGTGTGATGTGTGAGAGATGAGTTGTATGTAGCCGTGATATGTGTGAGTCCTGGGTGACAGTGTGAGGAGTGGATTGGGAATGTGTTATGTGTGATGTTAGTGTGTGAATGTATGATGTGTGTGTGTGGTGTGTGATGCGTGAATATGTGACGTGCGGCTCCGTGTGTGTAATGTGTTGTATGATACATGAATGTGTGTTGTGTAATTTGTGAATGTGTGTTGTGTGGCTGTGAGTGTGTGATGCCTGAAAGTGGGGTGTGTGAAGATGAGGGGTTGGCTTCGGCAGCTGGGGCCTGCCAGGAGGTGCTGGGGATGTGTGGGATGAATGGGTAGGAAAAATCTTCACATCATGCGTGGCCCAAATAAAACCCTCAGAAACATCGCACTGGGTAGTTAAGAGCAAGAATTAAGGGTCTGAGTACTTGCAGAAGTGAATGTTTAGAGTCTGAGGGATGAAAACGTCCAGACCTTGGCTTGTCCATTCTCTGCCTCCACATGCTACCCTGGGCCTTGGGGTTGGGCCCCAGGCCAGGCTGACACAGAGTAAACGGCAAAGTGGGAAAGTTTACCATCCTCCTTCCCTTGTCCCTCTCTTATCTGACCCCCATCTAAACTTCACTTCTCCTTCCTGACTCAAGGGTTGATGTACGGCTCTGGTGCCCCTATCCCCTGCAGAAGGTCTGATAAGCTGAAGGACACTGATGGAAGGGGGCCTGATGGCCAGACATCCTCTAAGAACAATGTTTAATCAGAAGGGATGAACCCAATGGAAAAATTCAGAGCCCGATGGCAGATAGGGGGAGGCAATAAACCATACCAAATACGCTGGGAAGTGTTCTAAGTCCTCAAGGTAAATTTAATCTCTATAGTAACTTAGGCTTCATTATCCTCCCTGTATCACAGATGGGCTAAGAAGAATATTCCTGCCCTAGCCGGTTTTCTCAGTGGTTAGAGTGTTGGCCTGCGGACTGAAGGGTGCCAGGTTTGATACTGGCCAAGGGCACATACCTCAGTTGCAGGTTTGATTCCCCACACCCCCGTTAGGGAGCGTGTGGGAGGCAACCAATAGATGTGTCTCTCTCATATCAATGGTTCTCTCTCTTTCTCTCTCTCTCTTCCACTCTCTCTGAAAAGCAATGGAAAAAATATCCTTGGGTAAAAATTTAAAAAAAAAGAAAAGAAGAAGAGTATTCCTCATAAGGTTGCTGTGAGGATTACATGAGGCCAGCATTGCAAAGGCCTTAGCACGGTGCCTGGAATAATGTCTGAGAGCATTGGAGATTAGCCATGGTCCTTAGGTGGAGATTGTCCTTATTGGTTCTGCTTGCTTACTGCATCACCCTACTTTGATCTCCCATGTGGCCAGCTTCCAAGGGCCATCTCCTGGCCTTTCCAGACTGAAGGCTGAGATCCTCAAGTGGCCCTTTCCATGACCCAACACAGCCTTCCCCATAGAGGGTCCATGAGAATACTGTTGCCTACTGGACTCTCGAGGGAGCCCACCCAGGTAGGGGTGCCTGGCTCAGCATCCTACAGTCCCCTCTTTCCAAGAACTTGGATTGTAAACCTGGCATTCCCAGAGGGAGCTGCTCCAGAGGAACAGAGCTTTGGAATTGTTGATCTTTACAGCAGGTTTCCTTGGGACTCTCTGCTACAAGAAATGGTAGAATTTCAGTAAGTAAGATTTCTCATATTCCTGCTGGCACTTTAAGATTAGAACCCAAATATGTGGGAATTGTGGATGAATTTTAATGTGATTTATCAGCAAAAACTTGGATTTTAGAATATTCACCTTCAAACATTTAAATAGACTTTTGGCTCTAGTGAGGTTGGATTGGTCACCCGTTTCTTCATCAACCTTAAGGTAGGCCTCTAGTTCTAATATCTTACAGCTCGACCATCTTCCTTCCCTTCCTGCTTCACCTCTCTGGCAAGCTGGGGACCATTGCTCTCAGTCTTACATCTTCTTTGGGTGTGCCCTCTGTCTACTTAGATATGTAGTTTTTCTGAGATGATCTTTCATTATTTTCATTGTACAGACTCCCTAGTAGAGCTCATTATTTCAAAAGAATTTGGGGATGGGAGGGTGGGGGGACTCTACTTTGTTTCTTTGCCTTGGAGACCAGCTTCACAGACCATGTCACAACAATCAACATCCCTCTACTGTCCATTATTCTTAAGAGATGTTCTGTCCTGGGTTTTGGGAAAGTCTTGGACAAATATATATGTATTTGCTTTACAAACCAAAATCAACTATTACTATAAACAGGTTCCCAGCCACTATTGGGCCTTAGTAATGCATAGTCATTATTACATAATGAATATTTTAAATGAAAAAAAAATTTGAGATAATTCAAGAACTTGAGGAAGATTGCCTTGTCATCAGAATATTTAAGTAGATCTCTAGATGGTTGCTGGACACTGACCATTGCTAGTTGGTTCATCATCAACCCTACAGTTGATTTGTTACTCCCTTGTACTAGGCTGAAAAGTGTCCCTCCAATATTCATGTCCATCTATTTAAATATGTTTTTTAAAATTGATTTTTTGAGAAGAAGGGAGAGGGATAGAGAGATAGACACATCGATGAGAGAGAGACATCAATCTGCTGCTTCCTGCACAGCCCCTTATTTAAATATGTTTTTTAAAATTGATTTTTAGAGAAGAAGGGAGAGGGATAAAGAGATAGAAATATCGATGAGAGAGAGACATCAATCTGCTGCTTCCTGCACAGCCCCTACTGGGGATCGGGCCTGAAACCTGGGCAAGTGCCCTGACCAGGAATTGAACCTGTGACCTTTTGGTTCATAGGTTGACGCTCAGCTACTGAGCCACACTGGCTGGGCAGAATATCACCTTATTTAGAAACAGAAACCTTGCAAACTAGATGAGGGTGGGCCTTAAATGCTATGACTGGGGTCCTTATAAGGAGGTCATGTGAAGACACAGAGAGACACACAGGGAGAATGCCATGTGGTGATGGAGGCAGAGATTGGAGTGATGCATCTACAAGCCAAGGAATGCCAAGGATTGTTGGCAACCACCAAAAACTAGGAGAAAAACATGAACAGATGCTCCCTTAGAACTTCCAGAAAGAGCCAGCCCTGTCGACAACCTGGTTTCAGACTTCTAGCCTCCAGAACAGTGAGAGAATAAATGACTGTTGTTTTAAGACACCCAGTTTGTGGGACTTTGTTACAGCAGCCCTAGGAGCCTAATATACTCCCCCAGTTGGTGATTTTTTAATTTATTAGTATTCCATGTTGGCTATAGAGCAGCTTCCTTTTTCCTAGAAGGGTTTCTCTGTCCAACATACTGCATAAGAAGATTGGGGAGTACGTTGTTATACTTACTATCACCTATTGACAGTGTCAGTCAAGAATAGCATAAATTGTCTGCAGCTTTAGTGACATACCTTGGCTTTTGGTTCTAGGGACTGAGATGGGCTGCACTGGTTCATGATTGGCTTGCAGGTTATTGGCATTAGTACAGATGCTGCATCTTAATCCTCTGCCCCAGGCATGACCCTTTGATGAGTCAGAGCAGCTTTCCAGGGGGAAAACGGTGATAGGTTTTGACACACCTCGTAGTTTTGGTGCTCCTGGAATGATGTGCTCTCCTTCAGGAGAAGATAGATATGTGTCCCCATTGTAGAGAACAGAGAAATATTCCTGACAGCCACCTCTCCTTACCAAGGGGGCACCCAAGGCTTCAGACTGGGCACGGCTGTTGATGGGGCTGGAGGGAAGACTGAGGAGGCCTGATGTCTGAGTCCTGTCAAGGGCAAGCTTAGGAAGCACGGGGCATCAGAAGCATTATGTTCAAGGCCAGGGCAGAAACAAAGGTTTTGCCCCACCTCAGGCAGTATAGAAGGCTAGGAAGAACTCTCTTCCAGACAGAACTCTCCACACACAGAGGCCCTGAGGAAGAGACTGGAGTGGGGTGGGGGCTCATAGGATATGACAAGTTTCAGTGCCAGAACTTAGGAATGGCCTGAGTAGACAATGAGGTCTTTTATCCAATCACTGTCCCCCAAGAGACTTTCGATCAACTGTTCTAAAACCCAAGCTACCCTTTAACTAGCTTCTAGGTGATATTCCTATGGAGGGAGTTTATTCATTTGGTAACTTGAGTTTTGATGAATAGCCTCTTGATCTTGTAGGATACCCCATAGATTCAAGGTCAAGTATTATATGGACATTTTGCCAAGATTTTCTTTTTAATGCCTAAGAGGAGCACTGGTTATACCTGCTTCCAGTTTATTCCATTATAAATAGTCTTAATTATGTTCTATAACAGAGCTTTGGGGCCTTGAAGATTATTCTTTGAAGATAACCTTGGTCCCACTTGGAGGGAGTTCTGTGTCCTACTTCAGCCCAGTATTGGAGATGGAGGAAACTGTGGTTTAGATACTTGTCATGGAGTGCTTGAAAGTGGGACCCAAGCAAACGTCTCTGAAAGGGTTTTCTGGGAAACAGAGAGTATGGGGCACAAATGCAGTCTGAGTCTCTTTGGTGGCAATCATGGTCTTTAATTATTAATTAAGTCACATTTTTGATTTGTTAGCAAGTGCCTGCTGATTGAGGTACAGAGCTCAAAGGAAAAAGACCCTCAACCTTAGCTCTTTGGAGATCAGCCCTTCCTTTGCACCATCAAATACCCTCTTTTCTTCCCTTCCATTCAGAACTCTTCAAATACAGGGGTTATGAGAGTTTGGCCATTCTCTTATCCTCTTAGGTCCATGTGAGCGACAGAAAGGGAAACGGTGTCTTCCCTGAGGTGAGGCCTGTGAAAGACCAGCCTCCATTCACAGTTTTGTCTCCCTCCACCTTCCCCTCCCCTCCTTTCAATCTTCCTCCTTGTTCTAAAACTCTTTCACCAGGAGAACAGGGTCTCCTGTAGAGAAATCCCTGGCCAAGAAAATTAGATGCCAAATCGAATTTTGACACTAGTGTATCTCACTTGGTGCCCATGAGCAAACCTCTTCACCTCTCAGGACCCAATTTTTCTCACCTGTAAAATATTAAGAATATGTATTTAAGATTTGTTGTATGTATGCCCATGTTTCATGACCCCTAAGGCCTTAGGACTCCAGACATTTTATGATTTCTCCCAATATGGGCAGAGAGGTGAGTATACCTGATGAGGATTTCAAGTCACAGCGAGTACAATACACTGAGAGGACCTGTGGCTACCAAGGTCTCAGTGATGTCTACAGAAAGGCTGCAGGCTGGGTGTGCGGCCTCTCTATTCATGCGCCTAGCAGAGCGCCTGGGTTCTGATGAGGATTCAGATATGTATTTTCTTTTTTTAGTTTTTATTACTTTATTGACTTGAGAGAGAGAAAAACATCGACTTGTTGTTCCACTTATTTATGCATCATCGGTTGCTTCCTGTATGTGCCCTGACCGGGGAACGAACTCACAACCTTGGTGAAATCAGGATGACGCTCTAACCAACTGCGCTCCCCGGCCAGGGCTCATATACATATTTTCAATGAAGGAGAGAAGAAGAAAGGATGGATGGCAGGGAGGGGGTGAGAGATGGAGGGATGGAGTGAAGAGGAGAGTCCCCTGGACATCCCATAATACGGGAGCAGAGACGCCCTGAATGGCCCTCCTTTCTAAAATTAACTCTCACCCATCCTGAGTTCTCTGTTTTTGTGACGAGGCCTCTCTAAAATTCCATTCTCCATCCACATCTTAGTTGTCTCATTAGAAATAAGTTCCCTCAGGTGGGAACCCTTCGGGCCCCCTCACCCTCAAAGGGAATGAGGCCAGACTTGCGTGCCACTGAGGAGGGACTCGCACGCTCTCTGGGGACAGTAGGAAAAGCCTAGGTGGGGGGGAGTGCAGGCGGTGGAGCCCCGGGGCTGAGGGCCCTAAGCATCAGCATGATTCGGAAGGTGATTGTCAAGGGTGGAAGGAGGAGGCAGCCGCTCTGCCTAGGCTTCGCTGGGGCCGTCCTGGACGCTGGTCACCATCTGGTTGGCCTGGAGCAGGAAGGCGGTGTGGGCCATGTCAGCTTCCTCCTTGGAGGACTGAGGGGGCAACGGGAGAGGAGTCAGTGTTTGAGGCATTCACTCAGTGGGTGGGGGTCAGAAGAAGGGGACCCTCTGAACAGTCTGAATTCATAATTGTGGCCCCAGCAACCCAGGCCTGTGGGGACGCGCTGTTTTTGTTCCAGCCCCCATGCTACCAACGCGGGCTAATCTTGAGAAACGGAAAGTTGCAGCTTCTAAAAATACCTCCCTTTGTCTCACTACCTCCTTCCGACACGTGGAGTGGAACCCTCTGTTGCCTGGGCCTGTCCCCGGAAGCTCTGCCCACACAGTTCAAGATGGCAAGGGACCTAGCTTGACATCAGCCACAGTGGCTCAGTGGTTCAGGTTTCTCTTTCTCCACCAGCCCAAACACAACACAAGGCTCGAGGGGAAGACTGTCCAGAACCAACTCATTCCCCCAATTGTTCCAAATGCTGGGGACTACTTCTGCAAGGGAGCATACATATGATAGATGCTATCACCTTGAGATTAGGGAGGCACAAGGGAACGACAGTAAAACAGGACCCAGAGGCAGGAGGCCTCCGATAGGATTTCAAGTGGGGAGGGGCATCTAGTGACTATCAAATTGCCCACCACCAGTGAATGTTTTCCAGACCCAGGCAAAAGGCTGGTCGTGAGCAAACTCTCAAGGGAGGGTGGGTGACATGAAGTCCATGGGCCCCACAGCCCAGGAGGAGCACCCGCCTAATCACCAGCCTTTGACACTTGACCTTCCCACCTGTGGCAGGATGTTTCCCGAGCTTGCCTCCCTCCTCCCCAGCCTCCCTCCCTCCTGCGAGTTTGCAGCCTATAATCATAGCCCACCTCCAGCCTCTGCCCCACCGCATCAACGCCACAACCAGTAAAATACATCTCAGCTTCAGCATTTCTCCTGAACACCGCTCACCTCCCCTTCCCTGCTCTGACATCAGCCCAAGCTAGGTAGCTTTCCCCCATGTCTGACTACAGCCCCCATGCCGCATTTCCTTGTCACCCAAGGGAGGTCTCCTTCTCCCTGCTCACCCTTACCCTCTTGGCCTTCTTGGGCTCATCAGTGTCCTTGGTGTCCTCAGTGGTGGCCGAGAGCTCTGTGTGAAGAGAAGGAGGTGAATTAGCCCTCACTAGCCTCCTATTCCCACCTAGCGCAGAGTCAGCTCTAATTCTTGCTCTCCAGGGGCTCAGGCATCCTCTCGAGTGAGGGACATACCATCTTTTCCTCCAAGAGATGTCTCCTGAACAACCGAAGAGGCTCCCATGTTGTCATTGGCTCCGAAATCCCTGGAGCTCTCCAAGTCCGACATGCTAAAGTCTGTCCTGTAGCTTCCAATGGAAACCCGGTCTGTCCAGGAGAAAGAGGAGTTGGTGTAGGGACGGGGCTGGGGACATGTGAGAGCAGGACATGCTGCTTCTCTCAGAGGCAGCCCCGCGGGACAGCTGGTGGGGAGGGTCTCTGGTTGCTCATCTCTGACTAGGACCCAAAGCAGACTGGCAGTGCTCTGAGTCTCCTCCCCAGTCTCTTTTCATAAATAATCAAGACTCAATAATCCTTGACCTATTTGTCACTCTGTGACCTTTCAATGCCCAGCACCTTGTCTTGTCTTCTCATCAGCCTCTGAGGTGGTATTATGATCCCCGTCTTGAGCCACGAGGTAGGAAATGGGGACACCCAAAGTCCAATCCAATTAGTCCTCAAGCCAGGCTGGAGGTGCGGGCTCCCCAGCATCCTGCTTTCCTCTTTTTGGCAGCCCCGCCTCTCACTTTACACCTGAGCGATCGGGGATGGCTTTCCAGAGACAGTATTTGAACAGCAGCACTTAATATAAGTTTTGGGTACCGGCAGGTTTATCTTCCCCCACCCTGCTTTCCCAGGACCCTTTCTTGAGCTTATAGAAAGAGCAGGAACCACGGCAGCCCCCCGCCAAGGGGTTGGAGGTGGGGAGCACGGAGCATCCTGGGGCTCACCAACGTTCCTCCTGTGTCGGGCTCTAACCACTGCCACCGCCAAGGCCCCCAGTGCCAGCACCAGGGCCAGGGGCACAAGGGTGGAGACCAGCACTGTGGAGCTCCCTCCTTGTCCTGCAGAGCTGGAAGGAAGGGGGAGTTAGCCACTGAAGAGGAACCTGGGTGTCCCGCGATGTGCTGGCTCTAGCTAGGTCTTCCTCCCAGGTTAATCCAGTCTGTCCTCTTGATAGAACCCTCTAGCTCCATTTTTTTCTAAGAAACCCTCCCAGACAGGGCAAAGGCAAGTGCTGAGCCTTCTCTGCATCCCAGGCCTGGACGGTAAACACTGCCCCGGCCACGGGAGAAGGCCCGAGAACACTGGTGGCCTCCCCTGAGCACTAGCAGAGGCGGTGAGGGCTGCCCCCACCATCCGGAAGCTGACAGGCTCTCCTGCCCAGACCCAGTAGCCCAGCCTCAGGTCCTAGTCCTTTGGGATGTTCTCTGAAGGGGGAGCCCCAAATCTTTCCTTACCTGCCAGGATCTACAAGTGCTTTGCTCCTGTCTCCCAGGTCTCCATCATCCTTCCCTGCTACATCTTCTGCAAAAAGCCTGGGACCCTGAATGATGTCCTCAGTGTTCTTGGCACGTGCCTCTATCTTTTGCTTGCCAGGAGCCGCATTCAGTTGGTTGACATCTTGGGACGCTGGAGGGAGCAGAGTGGGGCTGAATTATGGCTCTTACTCTATCTTTTTCACTCCTTGAGGTTAAGGAGTCTGAGGAGTGGGACTTTATTACAACTCACAGGGTGAGAGTGAGGTTTCAAAGCTGTTAAGGTAGGATCCAGGATGACACTAGAAATAGAGGAGTAACAGTCTTCTCTTATTTGTCACAGATGATCTGATCTCTGTCCCATTAACACCAAATTTATTCTTTATTTTCATCTACAAGGCTCCATATCATAGATCCAACTGTGCATAAGGACTGACTGACCCATCATTTAGGGACAGGGAGATTTTTCACATTTTAAAATCCTGCCCAACCAAAGCCTCCTGACTGCAGGGCTGGGTGGGATAGTGCTGCCCCCTCGTGGTAGCTTGGCCCTGGACCCCTCAGTGAGGTAGACCAGCAGGACCCAGACACAGCTGCATTTCTAGAGGGACTAAAAATATCCTGATTAGGGATAGAATATTTCAGATGACATTTTAAAAGAGGTGGGAAATGCAAACTTACTAAAAGAAGTTGCCTTAAATTTTTTTAAAAAAATATCTTTATTAATTTCAGAGAGAGGAAAGGAGAGGGAGAGAGAGAGATAGAAACATCAGTGATGAGAGAGTCATTGATCTGCTGCCTCTTGCATGCCCCCTACTGGGGATCGAGCCCCCAACCCGGGCATGTGCCCTGACCAGGAATTGAACCCCTATCGCCAACGCTCAACTGCTGAGCCACGCCTGGCCAGGCTTAACTTTCTTTATCAGACCTTGTAAGAGAAGGTACCCGGCTATCTTTTGAAAGCCAGCTTTGGCAGAGTGTATTGCACGTGACAGTGACTTGGAAATTTCTCTAAAAAGGAAGATCTCTACATATAGAAAGGTTCTCAAATGGCCTAAAGGGACAACTACGGGATTTATCTTGAAGCTGAGGTTAAATGGCAAGCCAGCTATTTTTTTTCTTAACTTGTGTGTTTATTTGTGATGCCCTTTTTGGAGGGCTGAGACTATGTGGGGGCTAAATCTCCAGGCCCCAGACTCTTAGAGACAAACCTGACTCCAAAAAGGCAGGAACCTTTCTCTGGGATCCAGGGGGAGCAGACCTTGGCTTTGGAGACTCACCCTTTGCCCTCTCCTTGACCGCCACGTGGACAGCGATGGTGTCTCCAAATCGGGGGCCATTCTTCACCCCGCACCAGTACCACCCCTCATCGTCCTTGGTGACTGGGTTCAGGATCAGGGAGGTGAGCTGGTTGTTCGGGTCGCAGTTCACAGAGGCCTGCCTGGAGCCCTCCTGTTGGCTGGGCAGTGCCTTGCAACCTTCGTTGCTCCACTTGCACCAGTATTTCTCGTAGGAGTAGAATTTGCAGGGCGAGCGGCAAGGCAGATTGAGAGTCTCTCCCAGCCAAGCAGTGGCCTCCTTGGGTGCCTCGAGGTTTGGCTCTCCTGGAGCAGGGAAGGAGGGAGAAAATAGGCACAGAAGTTGGCACTGGGGACTACAGTGTTGCAGGGAAATGACTGTTGTGGGGACCTTGGTCCACAGCCCATTTCCTCTTTGGACAGCATTGTAAATAATAACATTATACTGGATGCATAAGAAATGTAATTGTGCGTCTATATAATAATTATGATGAGTGACCGCCACCAATCAGTCTATCACAGAACATGGAACCTTGCATGCTCGCTTCAGTTTGCTTTCTTTGCTCTTTTCTGAACTCAATACAAAGAGCTGTGCTCCACTTCAGGTAGGACGTGCTGTGTGTGGCTGTCTGAAGAGCGAAGGCTGGGTGCCGGGAAGGGTGCCTGCTGCGGGTATGAAAGCGTGACCCCTCCACAGGTGGGCTCTCTCCCGAGGTCTGTCCCTCCAGGGGAGGGAGGTGGGGGAAGTGGAAGGAAGAGTGGTTGGGGGTTGATGCTGCAGCTGACTGGAGCAGTCCTGGGCTGCCTCCCTTCCCTCTTGCCCCAGTTCAGCTCTTTTTTTTTTTTCAATCCTCCCCCAAGGATGCTTTTCTATTGATTTTTTTAGAGAGAGAGGAAGGGGGAGAGAGAGAAACATCGATCGGTTGCCTCCTGTACATGCCCCAACCAGGAGTCAAACCTGCCACCTGAGTATGCGCCCTGACCAGGAATCGAACCTGCCACCTTTTGGTGCACGGGCTGATGCTCCCCTCAACTCAGCTGCGCAGCCAGGGCTTACCCTCAACAATCTTGAGCTCCACTGGGAACCACCAGCGAGTGTCACCGCTGGTCAGACACCAGTAGAAGCCGGCGTCCTGGGCGGTGAGCTGGTTGAGAATGACTGTGTAGGAGCCGTTGCCGGGCTCTTCGTGCAGGGTGAGCCTGCCCTCGTAGGGTTCGTATTGCTTCTCATCCAGGCCCTCGCTGCTCACCAGCAGGGTGCAGTCACTGTTCTCCTTATCCCAGCGACACCAGTGCTTCTGGCTATTTCTGTCCTTAGGGTTGTATGGGCAGAGCATGGCCACAGAGCCTCCAACCACACCTTTCACCACGGAGGGACTTCGGGGGATCCTCGTGTCTAGAAGGGCAGAGATGGGATGGGAGAACAGCAACATGGTCGGAGCAGGTTCTTCCCCCCGGTTTCAGGCAGGGTGGGCATAAGGGTCAGACTCATCCCCTCCTCCTTCCCAGAAAATCAGAAAGACTCCTAATGTCACAGCGCCTGTAGCTGGAGCCGCCCAACCAGAGCCCCGTAATCTTCACCACCAGTCAGGACTTTGTGTTCCCTTCGCCTACCTTAGCCTGAGCGGACTGGAAGGAAATGAAGGGGACACTATCTGCTCCTCTCTTGGCTCCTTACGAAATCCTCTATATAAGTTTTTGTCTGTTTAATGGCTTGTCCCACAAAAATAGACTGATGGATTTTCTCCAAATCAAGAAACTATATTTAGAACAGCAGGATTTAAAATATAAACTATGTAGCACAGATAAGTTTAATTGTCGAGGACCCTGAGGGCCTTCTCAAAGAGAAGTACAGCCCTTCTCCAAGAAGTTCACACTGAGGTTCAGTGAGAACCTGGGTGACTGAAGTTGCTGAGGAAGGTGTTAAGGACCACAAGCTGGATGGAGAAACGATGCGAGCCCCTTAATAGGTATGAGGGTAGTGACAGTGAACTGTAAGTACTGGTTTCTTGCTTCTTACGAAGGTAACTCTGTGCAGAGTGCTCCAGGGTGGGAAGGAGCAGGGATTTAAGTATTTCACCACATTGATGGCTCGCTGAAGTAGAGCTAAGTAAGCCAGATCTTCCTGAATAACTGTTAACCCTAAGAGCTGTTGGAAAGGAAAATTTAGAGGCAGGGCCATGCCTTCCTGGGAAAACTTTGAGAGCAAGACAAGGCACTCCTTTTTCCATCTGAGTGTAAAGCATGAGGTGCCATTCGGCTGAGGGTCAGGGAGAAGGGACAGAGGGCCCTGCAAGCCCTGGGATTCCATGTTACGTCCTCACTGTGGCTCTCTGAAACCCAGACAATCTACAAGTCTTGCTTCAATCGGGAGCTTCACTCTCCTCATTTCTATTGACCAGTGACAGCCATCACCATGATGACAGAGAAGAATTAAGAGATAACACAAGGCAGGGGCTGTGTTTCCTAGCTGTCCTGGACCGCTGCCCACATAGCATCTAGCTCCGGGCTTGTCCGGGAGCGGATATTGTTGACCGGCTCATGACTATTAAATAGACTCGCAGGGAGTGAGCTAGGCTGTCACCTGCCAGATCACCTCACCTCTTCTCTCTTCCCTTCTCAGGTCTCACCTTCATTGATGAAGAGTTGCCAAGGCTGCATGGACAAGCCTTCCTGAGGGCCACCAGTGGCGTGGGCCCCACACAGGTAGCTCCCTGCGTCTTCTTTCCTCAGGTCAGCAATGTGCACCTTGAAGAAGGTTTTGTCCTCAGGAGCAATCAGGATCCTTCCCTCAAAGGCCTCAGCCATCTTCCCCTGCGTATTGACGACCACTTCGCAGGCTTTCCCTTTGCTCATCCGGCACAGAAATTTGGTCAGAGTTTCCTCCTCTGGGCCCAGGGTACAGGAGAAGATCACTGAGCCCCTCAGGTCTCCATAAAGCAGCTGAGGCTCCGGCTTCAGCACGTGCAGGTAAACATTGCTTCTGTCATTTTTATTTTTAGGCCCAGCCTGGCAGACATACTTCCCTGCATCACTGAGCTGGAGTTGCTTGATGACGAAGCTGAATTCTAGTTGGCTGGTGCCCATAATAGAGATCTCAACTCTGTCCTTGTAGTCGTTGTCCACATACCCAGTGGTGTCGGTGACTAGGTAAGGTTCGGCGCCATCTAACTCCCTGAACACAGACTTTACCTCCATTACATTCTCAGGCTTGAAAGGGCATTTGATGGTCACTGTTTTGCCCAGTTTTCCTGTATAGACTTGAGTGCCATTTAGGAGCCCAGGACCTGCAGGAGGAGGGGCGGGAGGCAAGTTGTGATTTCAGTTTCTTGGGACATTGGACTACTCAGTTACTCAGTGTTCCCAGTGAGGATCTGGGTGTGCCTAGCATCTGGAATGTCCTCCCCAGAGGGACACTGTCAGGATGTCTCCCAAGGCCCAGCTTTACTGCTGTTTCATTCATGAAGCCTGAATCTCTCCCTCTCCTATGTTCTTTTTTTTACTTACATCTCTTTTTACTTATCACATACACCCAGTGTTGTATAGAGTTAATTATGTTCCCCCCAGGCTGGAAGCCCCTCGGGGGCAAAGATGCTTTGCACGTGATTGACTCCCATGTAGGACCTAACACGATGCCTCTACACAGTAGGTGTCCAAATTAATATGTGTCGAAATGAACAGATGAATGTAAATACAAGGGGGTGGCTTTCAGTGTTTTATGAGAGAGTTTCTAAAACTTACAACAGTCTAAACACGGAATGTACTTCTTTGTGAAGTAATGAATTTCTGCCATCTACAGTATTGGACCAGAGGCTGCACCCCCATTCTCTCCAGTGCTCTTCTGGATGTCCTATCGAGGGTCAACTCTAAGCTCTCCTTTGCTCTTATGACTCTGATTTTATGAATCTCCATGACCACCTAAATGAACTCTATTTGGTCCACAGATTATACTAAGCACATCCCCAAAGAGCAAAACATATCTTTGAGAATTTCTCCAAATTTCCTCCTTAAGACCTTTCTATTTTAATTTCCCTTGATTATCTAAAATGCCCTTGTCACTGAAACTTTGTCACAAAAATCCCCCCCCCCCTTTTCTCAATTAGAACAGGCTTGTTCACAGGCCCATCTCTTCAGAGCCCTGGTCTTTGGGCAAGAACTGGCCACATATTTTATGCTGAGAGTGTTGATGAACTAATGGATCCCGGGTAAAAAAATGTATTTTCAAAGAAGCCTTCTGGTGACCTGAGGTCTTGACCTAAAGGGTGCACTTGTGGCAGAAATTTAAGGATCCCTCTAAATCTCTCCCTGCCTTTTCTATGTCCCTCAGCTCATAGACCTCCTGTACCACGTGCACCATACACAACAAAAGTTGTCCTCCCGATGCTCTTCTAAGCTAGGGCCTCAGTAAAACCCTAAAATGTACTAGGCTATGAAGACCTAGAAAGGTCTATCCACCACCCCCAAGTAGGTGCCATCTGTCTCATTCTCATGGTCTGTTATGAAAGGTCCTTGCCTCCAGAGGCAGGAGGAACCGCAGCCTTCCCCACCTCATGCTAGGATACCCTTGCGTCTCAGAACATTCTTCCTCAAGCCCTCCCATTGCACCCAAGATGATTCCCACTCACTTTCCCACAGAAGCCCAAGGATCCTCACCTGGGAGGACCTCCAGGCTCACATCAAAGGACAGGCCTTCGTTAATAATGCCCAAACCACACTTGTAGCTCCCAGAGTCACTCTGGGTGAGATGGCCAATGTTTACCACAAACGTGTTATTCTCTGGGTAGTCGGTGATACTGGCTCTGCCCTCGTAGCCCTTGGAGACGTAGCTATCCGAGATGAGGGTTGTGCAACGGCCCTTGGCTCCCTGCTTGCACCAGTACTTCCGAGAGTGCCGGTTGACGGAGGCGTCTGGGTAGTAGCAGGTGATGGAAGCCGAGCTGCCTTCCATTCTGCTCATCTCCTGGGGACCAAAAATGGGACTCTTCATGGAGACCACTGTGGGGACAGAGAACAGAAGTTTTCTGAGGCTGTGGGAGGTAAAGCCTGCTGAAAGAATCCTGATAGCCCCCCTGGAGGAGATGAAATGTCCACCTAACACATGGGCCTTCTGTGGATTATTTATGTGTACTACAACTAGACAACTGCTGCTGTTGGGTAAAAGAATTGATTAATCACTATTAAATTTGAATTCTAATTTATTAATGACAACCATTCGAAGGACAATGAAACGAAAACTTATTTAATGATATCCCTTGTTTATTAAAAAAAAACACTTGTGTAGGGTGCTATACTTTTGCATGTGCTGTCTATTATTTCCTGATTTTTCTAAAAATGCTTTCTAGATTATTATTTTTTCCATATAAAAATATTGAGAGCCAGAAAGGACAAGTCATTTTCCCCAAACCCCATTGCAACTCATAGAGATGTTTGGTTCAAGGTCAAGGTCTTGTGAAGAGCAAACCCTGGCCTTGGAATGAGGAACTGCCTTTCCTGTTCCTGATCCCAGCCCATTTTCAGAAGAGGGTTTTCCGCATCACCTGTGTGATGCCTCCTCTAGGGAGTGTACCTTCTGAGAGGGGCATCCCTGGGGATGGGCCTGATCTCAGTGTCCCCAGGGAACTGGATCTTGCAGGGAGTGGGCTGGGGCCTGGCAGACGCACCTGGGAGGACAGCCAGCAGGCAGGCGAGGAAGAAGAGCGTCATTGTTAGTGGCTCCCTCCGGGCTGTGTGGCCCAGGCCAATTTCTTGCTTGGATGCTGAAAAACAATAGCATGAGGGGATGAAGCGCCTATGTCTTCCAAGTCTGCATGACCTTAGAGTTTCTGTAACACCTGTTTGGTTTTGTATGTGCAGGTAATGGACATAAATCCTATTGAGAGAATGAATGGCTCCACCTTTCCCATTAGAGCTCAAATTCTTGTCACCTCACAGTGCTTTTTGTTCCTCAAAAGCTATCATATATATTTTTATCTTCTCAGCTCATCTGCAAGCTCCTTCGGGGTAGAGACACAAGTGCCATTTCTTCTATATTCCCGCCTGGGAGGCAGGGTTCTGAGCACGAGCTGTAAGAGCTCAGGAACAGCTCGTTGGATGGTCGGTTACTACCAACACATGGCCCCATCTCTCTGTCTCAGCGGCCATCCCTGGGAGGTGGGGTGGTGGTGGCATATTTTGTGGTGCATTCATATGAATAAACCAAGACCCATACAGGAAGCCTAGTAAGGATTAAAGTTACAAATGTGACAATGATGGGCATAACCACCATCTATTGTTCTTTTATATGTTCCAGGCACTGTGTGAAACAAGGTAGGTGTATTGTCTCATTTAAACTTGATATCAGCCCCTATGAGGTAGGAATTCTTATCCACATTTTACATAGGAAGAAATGAAAGCTTAAGGGTCAAGAGCTTTTCTTGAGGTCACACAGGGATCAAGTGTGTGGGTGGGGGAGGTGGGTGAGACTTGAACCCAACTTTGTTGAACTCCAAAATTCAAGCTCTTAACCTCTCCCATGGCACCCTAATTACACCTCAAATACAGCAGCGTGCTTATGCCTTGTGCTTGTTCCTATTGTTTTAAAGCTCCCATTGCTTATCAAAGTACTGTCCTTCACACTATTTCTCTGGAGCTTTATAACTTCCTTTTAAATAAGACAGAACAGATAGAATTATAACCATTTTATGGATAGAAAAATCAAGAGCTTGAGATGCTCAATAATATGCCCACAATATCCCGGAGACTTGGTTCTGGAATCAGGTGTTCCAGCCTTTGTTATCCTGCCTGGTGAGGCTGGGCAGACAAAGATGGAGAATCCAAGACAAGGCCACTCAGAGGATGCAGGGCATATGAACCTTGTCACATATGTGGGCACAGCCCAGGGCTGGGAGAATTGAGGGTCCCAGGGCCCATCCTAATCACAGCTGTTTTCAGGACACAAGTGGCAGCCTACAAGAGGAGAGGGGAGTCCCCACTTTCCCACAGACTCTGACAGGCTTTAAACTTTTCAGTGAACTTGGAAGCAAGAGTGTTGAAGGAGAGAACCATGTTAATAAGCTTAGGCAGTAAAAAGCCCCCATAAAGATAAGGAATGTTGAAGCAGGTGGGAGTCAGGGCAGCTCTCCCAATCTCCCCTTAATACTTGGCCCCTGCTGCCCTCCCAGCAACTCCCTTCACTAGCTTGAGCCAAAGGCAATAGAACTGTTTATCTTGGTTATTTCTTTTCTGCGGGGGAATTTCCCAGTAAGGAACCTTTTTATTTCCTTGTGTAGATAAAGGTATTCTGTTTCTCTAGTTCTTTGGAAGAGGAAGGGGAGCAGGATAGGGGAGGTGGAGACAGATATGGTGTCAGGTGGCAACTTGAGGCTCTCTTGATTCTGGTTAATTGCCCTAGACCTTTCAGACCAGGCCAATCATTAACTTCTGGAGTGGGGCCTCAGCCAAACGCCAGCGTCAGTCCCACCCTGGATGTGCTCAGGGATCCTGGCTGGGGGACAGCCTGCTTGAACCAGAAGGGAGGCTCCCAGGTGGAAGCAGGTATCAGAAGGCTGAGAAGTCTGCCTACCCTGGAACACATGGGATGGGTTGGCTGCAGAGTCTGGGGGAATCTGTCTACCATCTGCCATTTGCACTGGCCTTGGGTTGAGTGGCAGGTGGGAGGACAATCTGCCACATGTTGTTTTAAGAGCCCAAACCAGCAGTGGCTCTCCTTGGCTCTGGTTCCTATTCTCACCTATAGATAAGCAAGCTTAACATATCTGTGAGGCAGGGGTGGGTCTTCCCCTGGGCTGAGCTGGGGATGCAGTCCTCCCCTGGATGGGTAAAAGTAATTTGCCCTGGGTCACAAAGAGTCAGATGCCAGGTTTCCAGCGGCGATCCGGACCTTCAGCCCAGGCTTCCTCTCATGTGTAACATGCTTGATGGCTGTAAGTGTCCATATGGGGGGGATACATGTGTGTACCCATTACTCTTTGCACAGCCTTGGGCCAGAGATGAAAGCATCAGGCATGCACAGCTGGAAGGGAAACCTGGCAGAGGGTGATCTTGGTGAGGACACACAGTCTAGTCCCAGGGGAGATGATGGAAGGGTAAGGGCACCCATCCTCTCAGAAACAAGAAGCCTTTGCCCAAAGCTAAACTAGACGCACAATTTCTCTGCTAACAGCTGAAAGAACCTTGGGCTTATAGAATGATTTAGTATCTCTTCCTCTTGAAACCAGACTTTCTCCCAACCTGGGAGATTCAGGTTTCATGGAGGTGCCAGTGTCATGGTGCCTGGAGCTGGATTTAAAGGATTTGCTCACGGAAGGAAGGAAAGAACATAAGTAACATTTATTGGGTATCTACTATGCACATGGTTCATTTCTCGCTTCTTTTCTTATATGACTTCATCTGTCTTCACAACAAACCCAAGAGGTAGATACTATTATCTTCATGTTGCAGATGGGAAATCTAAGGGTTAGAGAGATCCTTGGCCCCAAGATCCATAGCAGAATTGGATCACTACCCTGTTATCACTCCTTGGATGAGCAGAGGGTCCTATTCTTTAGGGAAATACACAGGCTAGTATGTCATGCACGAAGGCACCTTTCTAGTCCTTAAAAGAGGAGTTGTTTTTCACTGCTCAGGCTGGGATATTCTAGATCATTCTCTTTTTACCAAGTCACTGCCCCTGATATATTCATAAGTCTACACAGCTGTGGAGTGGGGCAGGGGTACAGGGCATGCCGGAGAATTATGTTTGTCTCCTAGCTAGCTCCCATTCAGCTAGAATGACTGATCTTCAGTTCTTATAGCTTGAGTCCAAACATTTGTCCATCTAATGTCAGGTTTGCTCCTTTTTCAGGGGGAGAGGGGTCTCCTGGACCAGGTTGTGGCTCGGCTGCTGCTGTGTCCCATGGTCTTGAGCAACTCTGGGCTCTTCACTTGTTTGATACACAGCAGAGGGTCAGGAGGGCCCTCACAGCCCCAGGCACTTCAGAGCAGACAAAGAGCATGCACTATGGGGACTTGAAGCCAAGTTGGCAGTTTCTGAGAACTTCTTGTGAATGTGAACTTGGAGGAGCAGGAAGCTTGAAGCTCAGAGGAGTGAAGAGAGTTGGTTTGGCTGGGGAGAGGGCTTTCCTTGGCCTGTACTGAACAGCTCCTTTCCCTGTTTCCTCTACTCATTCCTGAGTCCTTTGGGGAATACACTCTCATCTCCCATGGGTGCAGGGATCAATTATAGACTAGGCTGAGCCCAGAAATCACAGCACCACTAGAGACAGAGAGCAGTCTGTGTGGTTTGGAAGGGCCGTAGGCTTGTGATGACAGGAGAGAGCTTAGGAGAATTCGTGTAGTTTATGGAAGCCCTGGAGTGTGGCAGAGTGTCCAAGTAAAGGCAATGTTGAGGAGAAGGAATTGGAACTCCAGAGGGCAGGTAGATGGAGAAAGAATTGGCTGAGGGGTCCAAAGAATGTATGAGCTAGGAAGATCCAAGACTTTGTGGTCCTGTCCCTATGTAAGTGACGTGCTACCAATGTGAGACAGAAGCAGAAATTAAACATTTAAAATGCCAGCTCCATGAAGCTCTGGGAATAAGCCCTGTGGATTTCCACCTTTCAACAAAGACTTAGAACCCTTGTTATTGACTCCTTCCCGTTCTACCTTGATATGTAGGTATTTATCTCATCCACTCTACCAGATGGCAGGCTCCTTGAAGGCAGGTGCCAACTAGGTCAATCTCTCCATCTCTAGAGGGCTTTTTAGGAGAGTGCCTGGCAAGGACCAGCTGCACAGCAAAGACTGATGGGATTGGGAATGTTATATCCTTACAGCTCCTCTCTGAGAAGGGCAAAATCAGAACTGATTCCCTTCACCTTGCCAAATGCCTTCTTGGTTCTGGGCACTAAAGAAACAATGGAGAATGGAGGGCAATGCAGAGCCCAGAGTCTTGTTCTGCCACAGGTTACAGAAGACCTCTACCACTTGGGCTCAACTCCCTCATTTGCAAAATGGGTTTCATAGTCCCTGACTCTTCTAGATTGAAGGGCTACTGTGGGACAGGGAAATATGGAGGGGGATTGTGGGATAATGTCTATGGGGGCACTTTAAATAGTATAAAGTTTTCTTCAACTGAAAGGGGTTGCAATTACTCAAGCACAGGAGGAGTGGGACCCATGCCCTTGACTTTCAAGGTTGCTGCGACCTGGAGAGTGGCACAAAGCATGGGCTCATCAGCTTGACTCTGAACAATCTCACTTGAGGGCTATTGGGGGCAGGCTTTTTAAACTCTTTGAGCTTCAGTCCTCATTGGTAAACTGGAGATAATTGTACCCAGTATAAAGAGTTGCTGTAAGGATTAAAAGGAACAACATATGTAAAGTGTTTAGTATGGTATCAGGATTTTTAAAAATGTCATTTTCTTTTCCACCTCCTCTCTAAAACCAACACAGTCTTCTCTTTTTCTCATCTTAGAGTGAGAAGAGAAGAGAATTCTATTTACTGGGCACCCTTTGAAGATGGGGGAGTGGGGTGTGGTGTGAGCTGCTCAGATTGAACCAGCATGGCCTGAAAGAGGAGACACGTGTTGTGTACTAGGATACAAATGGAGGGCAGTATTTAGAGTTAGCGCGTACTGAGTAATTTCCAAGTGCTTTGCAAGTGTTAACTCATTTAATCTTTGCAGACACCCTAAGAGATAGGATTAAGTGGGCAAACTCATTTCA